TACGGGATCTATTATATTTTTAAATGAAAAATAAGATTTAAAATAGTAATAAAAAGAATTATTGGAACAGTTAAACAGTATTATTAAAGGAATTTCAATGTTGCATAACAGATAAAAATATTGAACATACTATAAATTATTCTAAAACAATTTTTTTTAATGTAACATTGTTTTTCTAATTATCCTGTGAACGATGTACAATTAGAAAATTTGTTCATTAAAGTTTAACTTTTTTATAGAGGATGTTTTTTTTATAATGGTAAAATTATATAAATTAAAATATACAGTTTAGTAAAACAAAGATATTGACAATTTTAGAATTAAAAAACTAACAAATTAAAAATAAATTTTAACTTAAAGATAATAGAATAAAAATATTATATCAAACATTAAAATTATTCTTTTGAATACTATAGTAATTTTAGTTTTTCTAAAAATACATCTTTAACCTTTTTTTTTGAGTAGAGAAAAAAAAAATAAAATATATTAGGTTATAAAAATAAAAGATTATCATAAATTACTCAAACCCTATTGCTGTAATTCTTAAAGTTAAAGATAAATATATAGAACACATTTACTTGAAAAGTTTTATGTATTTAAAAAAACAAAGATGAGTAAATTTATAATGATGGTTTAAATTAAATTAAATACTGCAGTTAAAAGAAAATTTCTTTCTCAATTATTTCTTAGAATTGTTTTTCTACCTTTAGTTTTTTTTATTTAAAATTTTTTTTTAAGAACGTTAATAATATCTTTTGTATTTTTGTAAATTATCATTTTAGAATAATATTATATTAAGGATGCATATTAAGATATTTAAAGTACTTATATTAATCGTTATTGTAAATATAACTCTAATCATTTAAATAAATACGGAATACGTTTTAAATCCTTCAATGTTTTTTTAATTCTAGAACATTATTTTTTACCTAATTCTATTTATAAAGATTTAAACTTTTAAAACATTTTCTTCATTTAATTTTATATTTAAATTTATTTTATGACTTCATTCATAAATCTTTTCTATAAATTTTTTTTTTATGGTGACAAGAGGAAATACTTATTCTATTTTTAATAAAGAAAATATCATTATAAAAAAATAAAATTCATGAAAAAGAAGGAAATGTAATATAATTTATTTTTTTTTATGAAATATTCAATTCAATTAAAACAATATTCTTCATAGTTCATCATATTTTTCATTATCTATTATTTGTCTATCATATCACGTTCCTTCTAAACTACAAATTAAATTATATAAAAAATAAAATCCTTAGAAATATCTTCATATAATGATGTGAATTATTACTAATGAAAATATTTTTATTATTATTATAAAATAATTCTCTTATTTTTATACTATATTTTAATCTTTTAACACTTAAAGTTCAAAATTAAATCGTCTTACTTAAAATAAAGCTAAATTAGTAGGGAATTAACTAAAATTTATACAACTAAAAATTAATACTTTTGATAAAAAATATTTATTATAAATTTTAAGTCTATAATATTTTAAGAATCAATTTTTTATTTATCCTAATATTTTTGAAATATAGAACTAAAGATTATATTTTTTGTAAAATAAATTGTATGTTCATATTTCTATTTTTAAATAAAGTAAAATACCTAAACCATTACTTATTTAAAAACAATAATATATATAAATGTTTATTTTTACGTAACTTGAACTTTTATTTTAATTTTATTACAAGTTGTATAGTTTATTTAATTTTTACTCAGGTAAGTTCAAATTTGATATATTCTTTTTTAGTTTTTTTTTGTTATTTTCCTTGCAATTTCCTTTTAATTCCTTTTTTTTATCTTTTAATAAATTTAGTAATCATCTCTTTTTTTTTTTCCAAAAATTATATAAGAGATTTTTAAACATTTAATAATATACGTATGTTTTAATATAATACATTAAACATTTTAACATACAGAAACTTTGTAAAGTATTTTTTTGTTAATGACAATCTTTTTAAATATATTAAACTTTAAATAGAAAATTTTATAAATTAAAAATTCTATATTAATTCATGAATACTATATCATGAAGCATATTATGTTAGAAAAATCCTTTGAATTTATTTTTGAATATTTGTTTTTTGCTTATGTAATATAAAATGTGTGCTAAATATTTCCTTATTTTTATTATAGATTTAATAACTGTAATTCTGTTTAACTTGGTTTTTTATATAATTAATAAATTATAAAATTACCTACACTACTGAATGACTAATATATTTTAAAAGAAATAATATAGTAATAATTTCAAATAAAAATTAGCATTTATTAATGTAATAACTAAATTATTCCTTTAAATTATAAAAAATGAATATTTGCATTTTAATTTGTTATTGATGAAAAAAATTACTCTAATTTTATGTTATTTTTTTTAAAAAATTGTTAATGTTTCCTAGAAAAAACAATGATGATATAAAACAAATGAGTTGTATGAACTTATAAGAAATTCATACTATAAATTATAACGAAAAAAAATACAGATAATATGAACATATTATAATAAACAACCTATAATATGTTAATAGAACATAATTTTTTAAAATTTAAATTGTATATCTCTAATGTAAGTTTACTTTTTCGTTTTTGTATCATCTACATATAAATTTAAGTAAAATGTATGATAACTAAACTTATTTCAGAACCTTTCAGTAATTTGTTAAAACTAAAAAATTTCAAAAAATGTAATTTTTATATATCTTCATATATGTGATAAGTTTATTTTACGTAGTTCAAAATCCACATATTAATTTTATCATTATGCTCAACATAAAATGATTGAATTTATCAATAATATTTATATAAATTTTTTTCATTTAAGTAAATAAATCTCATATTTTAACTTTCTGTAATGTAGATTTATTTTTTTCTAGTAAAGTTAAATTTTATAAAGAATGTATCAAATAAAGAAAAAGAGAGTAAAAAAAAACGTTAAAGTCACAAAAATATTAACTTCCACTATACAAGAATAAAATGTATTTTTTAATTTTTAAAGTTGTATTATTTCATATTTATATTTTTTCAGCAAAAGAAAAAGATAAAAATGAAAAGAATAAAAATTAGATTTTCATGAAGTTCAGTTAATTTCAAATATATATAAGCATTTTTTTCTATTTTAAAAAAATTAAGACATAATATATTTAAAAATTTCTATTTTAATTAATAAAAATATCATAAAACATGAATTAATATTTTATATAAGCATTTTTATTATTCAAGATTTTTCTTATAAATTAAGATTTTTACCAATACAAACAAAAATAACTTTTACTGTAATTAATTATTATATGTAAAATTTACTTATAACATAACATGAATATTTAAAATAAAAACAGCTGTAGATGTAAAAATCGTTGAATTTTATAAATTTATATGTTTAATCTTTCTTCTATTGCACTTGGTAAAATTAAGAAATAAAAATTTTTTATTGAAAAAAAATTTATGGAAATATATGGAAATATGTTAAAAATTTATTGTATTTATTGAAACATAAATTTATAAATTAAAAATTTATAAAACTTTACTAAGTGTAACTTAAAATTCTTAGAATGTTATAAAAAAAAAAAAAAAATATATAATAATAGAGTAAATTTTAAATAACTTTATTGAAGTATTTCTAATTATTAAAAGAAAAAGAAAAAAGTGGATATTCTTTATAGTATCATTTCTAAAAGGATTAAAAAAATAATAATAAATATATAATAAACACAATATATTTCTAAAAGGGTTAAAAAAATAATAATAAATATATAATAAACACATTATATTTCTAAAAGTTAATTTTATTTTTTCAAATAAGATAGAAAGTTAATGGGAATTATCATTTATACACACGCAAAAAAAAAAAAAAAAAAAAAAAAAAAATGCGCCCTAAACTATTATTTTTTTTGAAAAATATGTAGGTTAAAATGTCTTTAAATAAAATTTCAGTTTTCTAATTTTGTAATTAATTTTTTTTTTTTGCATATTGTTAATTATGTCATATAGTGTGAATGTTATTATGTTTATTATAATTTAAATCTTTGTATTCATATGAAGAGTAAAAAATATTTTTAAATATTTTAATGTCACTTTTTTATTTGAGATGAAAATTTTTATTTAAAAGTCTAATTTTAGAATTAAAAAAATTCTTAAATCTTCAAAAAAATTTATATTTTGTATATTTAATAATTTAAAAAATATGATAAAAAAATTTTATGTTCAAATGTGCAAAATCAAAGAAGACGAGTTTTTTAATAAAAAATCATAATGAAGCTTAAATGACTTTTTTTTAATGATATAAATAAAAAATGTTTTAAAACAAAAAAATATATTAAGATACAATATAATGAATTATTTTTTAAATATATTTTTTATAATATTAATAATATATGAGATTGTTTTTAAATGATTTAATTTGTTATTTATATTATATATTCAGACTTGATTTATACGTACACATATATATTAATATTTTTTGTCAAAAAAAAATATATATATATATATATATATAAATACATACATGAATGAAAAAAATAAAATGATTTTTGATATTTATTAGAAAGTTACAATAAATGAATAATGTTTGCGTTTCATATTCATTTTAATTTTGTATGTTGTTATGAAAATATTAAATATGAAAATTTTCAAATTTTTTTTTAATTTTTAATATATAATTATCCTTTGAAAATACATAAGCTTTAAAGAAATTAAGAATTTATTGCATTAAAAAGAAATATCTATATTAAAAATAAAGGTAAAGGAAGATAAAGGGAAAAAGGAAAGGTAATATATGAATATAAAAAGAAATATTAATAAGAGAGAAATATATGAAACAATTTTTTAAAAAAATTAATTACACTATGAGTGTATTGTTTTAATTAAAAGTTTCTATTTATCATAAGTTTTTTGTATAATCATTAATATATATATATAAGTTAATTTTTTATGTGAAGTCATATACAAACGTTAGAGGTCTAAATAATGACATGAAAAAAAAAATGGATAAAGATTTAAGTAATAAATTAAAAATGCAAAATTCAAATAATATATCTTACTCAAATTTTAACGGAATAGATTTTTTAGAAACAAGAAATGATTTATATTTAAATAATTCAGATGTAGAAAATTATGATAAAATAAGAAGTAACAATATAAATTTTACGAATATAGATAATTCAAAATGGAATTACGACAATCAAACTTTAAGACAAAATTATGACATCAACACTTCTAATGAAATAAATTCTAATAATATAAATATATATGACTCAAATAACAATATTATGAATTATCAAAAAAAAATAAATAATTGTAATAACATGAGACAAAATAATATGGCTTATTTAGATTCAAATACACTAAACTCTAATAATATTTATAATTTTAATCAAGTTTATAATGAAAATAATCCTTTTGTTATAAAGTCGAATACAGCGGATAATAATTTACAAAAAATGAATTCTCCATATTTTAATGTAATGAAATATTCTGATTATTATAATTCTAATAATTGTATATATAATACAAATATTTTAAATACTAGTATATCAGATAATCAAAAAAATTATTCAAATAATTCAAGTCCATACAAAAATGATTACTTAAAATTTAACTTGAATTCTGTTAATGCCATAAATCATAATTTGAATTTTTCAAATGCATCTAATTCTAGTAATGCTAATTCGAACGTATTTAGTAGCAATATGACAACACCAAGCATAAATATTATGAATTTTAATCCTATTAACTCTTGCAATATAAAATATAATTCGAACATGTTTGATTTTACATCAACTGGAAATATTAATTCCTTAAAAGTTAAAGATCTTAATCTAAGTGAATTGAATCCAATACATTTTCAAGAATCAGATTTATCTAATTATTCAAATGGAATTTTGAAAAATGTAAATTTTTTACATACTCCTGCTTCTTATATTATCTCAAATAATAATGACTCTAATAGTTATATTTCCTCGAATAATAGTAAATGCTTAAATTCTAACTTTTTAAAAGTTCATGCTATAAATTGTAATGATTCTAATATAATAAAAGAACAATCAAATCCATTAACTTTTTCTGAATGCAAATTTTTTTACAATGATAAACAAAAAATACTGAATCAAGAGAACTCATCTATAGAAAATGAAAAAAAGGAAAAAAGAAAAAGAAAGGATAAGGATTTAGAAACATATGAAAAAGAAAAAAAAAAAAAAATAGAAGGAAATGAAAAAAATGAAGAAAAAACAAAGAAGAAGGAAGCACATTTAATAAATAGCAATATTGATATTCAAAAAAAAAAACATAGGAGTGAAACAATTTTAAAAAGTGTAGATGAAAATGAAAAGCAAAAAAAAAAGAATTATGATGAAAATAATGATTACATAAACAAAAATTTTGATATAAATAAAAAAAGCTTAAAAAAAAAAAAGGAAAATAATATGATAAAAAAAAATAAAAATAATAGAAAAAATTTAATAAATGAGAAAAAAATTTTAAATATTGATGAAAAAAATTCTGATAAGTTTAAGGAATCCCATGAAAATAGTGATGAAGGGATAAAAATGAATTCAAAAGATAGAAATGAAAAGCAAATAGTAGTATGTAAACGAAACAGTAATGTTTTAAGAAAAATAATTGATTTTGAAAATACGGTAGAAGACAAAGAAAATGAGAAATTATCCAATAAAAAAAAAGTAAATATAAAACACAAAAAAGATGTTAATATTACAAATATAGTTAAGAGAGATACCATAAAAGATAGATTAAGATCAAGTACAGAAAAAACTAATTTAGAAAAAAATGAGAAAAATAGAAATAAATTTATAAATCAGGATAATAATATCAAATCTTTATCAAAATATGATTTTCTTATGAATAAAAATATCCTTTTCAAAAATGTTAACATAGGAAATAAAAAGATCAATAACAACATGGAAATAAATTATGGAGAAAAACATTACAATATATCAAAAGAGAAGAATAATGATATAAATGAAAAAAAACGGAAATTTAAAGATAATGGTGAAATAGAAGATAACTTAAAAGATGTGAAAATAGAATCATATAGTAAAAGTGAAAAAAAAATAAAAAGGAATAAAAATGAAAATGTATATTACACAGAAAGTGAGAACAATAAAAACGAAATAGTGGATGGTAAAAAATGTTCATCAAAAAATAAAATATATAGTGAAAGAAAAGAAGATGAGAATGAAGGCCTTAAAAATATAGAAGAGAAAAAAAAAAATAAAATAGAAAAAAAAAACAACAGTAATTTTATTAATAACAAAGAGAATGTAGCAAATACAATAAAATATTGTGAACATATAGAAGAAAAAGACACAGTGGAAACAAAATATGAGAAAAAAAAAAATATATATAATATAAGAAAGGAAAATACAAATTATGATAATAAAAAAGAAAAGAAAAAAATTGGAAAAATGAAAAACAAACAAAATAGTGAAAAAATTGTAATTAAAAAATTAGAAGAAAATGATGATGAAAAAATAAAAGAAAAAGAAGAATTAAAGAATTTAATATATGAAAAAAAAAAAAAACTTAAAATAAAAAATGTTAGTAAAGACAATCATATGGACATGGAAGTTAAAGGCAATAAATCTTTAAATGAAAAAATTAGAGAAAATAAAGAAAGTGAATATACAAATAATGAAAATAAAATAATACTTAAAGAGGACAAATATATTAGTAAAGAAAGTTATGCATCGATGAAAGAGAATGAATGCAATAATGAAAATAAAATAATAAAAGAAGAAAAAGAGTGTCCAAATACTGAAAATAAAATACGATATGAAATAAGTGAAATAAATGAATTTAAAGATAATGAGAATAAATTAATAATAAAAGAAAGTAAATATGAAAATAAGGAAAATAATAAGTTAATCTCAGATAATGACTGTAAAAATAATGAAAAAGAGACAATAATAAAAGAAAATGAAATGTTAATAAAAGATGATAAAAACAAAAATAATGAAAATGAAAATATTTATTTAGACATAAATGATATATGTGATACAAAAGAAAATATATTAGAAAAAGAACTGAAAATAAATGAAAGTAATAATAAATATCATACAGCAAATAATTTCAATATTGGTGATAATAAGTGTGTTTTAAATGATAGTTTGGATATTAAAAAGAATAAATATGACATAAATAATGTAAAATGTGCAATAAATAGTTTGAATGATGAAAATAATGTGAATAATAATTTAAATAAAATAAATGACATAAAAAGGAAAGTATTTGCTGAAAAGGAGGACATGGATGATAAAAATAATTATCAAATTACTAAATCAGTGATTGATGAAAATATTGATAGTAATTTGTTTTGTAATTATGATAAAAAAAATAGTGTTAAAGATTTAACTAGGGACTTATATTCTTCAACTGATGGAAATAATGACATAATAAATAATAAAAAAAAAAAATTTTGGTCTAATTTAGGTTCTATTAGTTATATAGACAACTTTGTTGGAAAAGGGTCATATGGAAGTGTTAGAAAAGTTTTATATAATATTGATTTAAATCATGAGCATCTAAAATTTTATATTGATAAAATAAATAGTAGAGAATTTATTAATTTATTTTTAGAAACTAATTCTGTAAAAATGAATCCAGAATTTAGTGGGGAGGCAGATAATATCATTCATGATAAAAAAGACATAAAAAAAAATTTCGAAAATAATTCTAAACACATTAATGATAAAAAGAAAGAGTTACATAATTTTGGAAATGATTTATTAACAAATAAAAAGGTAGACAATTGTCTTTGTTGCTATAATAAAAGATATTTTGAATTGGCTATCAAAGAAATAGATGTTAGTAGAAAAGGTAATGAGTTTCAATTTTTAAGAGAACAAGAATTATTATGTCATTTTAATAGTAATGTTATAAAACCATTAAGTACTAAAATTGGAAATTTAAAAGAAAAGCAAAATTACGAAATATTAATGCATTGTGCTAATGGAGATTTAAGAAAACTGTTACAGAATTTAATATATCATAGAAAAAAAGAATTTGAAAAAAGAAAAAAAGTTAATAAAATTTTAAAATTAATTCATATCATATTTGGAAGGAAATATAAATGCTACAAAAATGAAAATGATAACACTTGCATAGGTTTATGTTATGAAAAGTTAAAAAAAATAAAAATAAAATTAAATAATAGTATAATTGAGATCAAATATCCTAAATTTGATCATATATATGATAATATAAAAATATATAATTGTGGTTTAACAGAATCAGAATGCAAATTTTTGTTTTTTCAAATAGTAAATGGTATTAGTTTTATACAAACATGTTATCAATCTAATATAATACGTGTAACTGATATTAAATTACAAAATATATTAGTTTATACTGATGCATATAATTTATATAACCCAATGAAATGGCATTTATGTATATCTGATTTTGGTTGTTCTGCAATGGAATATGCTACCTTTTATCTAGAAAATTCTAAAAATTATCTTAACGTATATAAAACTTTATTAAATCAATGGAAATATCAATTCAAAAATCAGTTATCTTCTTACTTTCAAGGAACAGTTTATACAATGGCACCTGAAGGATTATGTTATGATCATAAGGGAAATTTTAGACAATCAAAATATAATAAATTAATTTATTTTTATGAACAAAATTTTGGTAATATTGAACGTAGGTTTCAGGAATTACAAAAACCATTAGTTTCTATTAAAAATTCTGTAAATAATTTTGATATATTAAATATAAACTCATCATCTAATTTTCATTTTTTAAATGAAAAAGATGAAAAATTGAATAATACTAAGGAGGTAAAAAGTGAATTAGATAATAAAGATTCTTTAAAAAAGAGTAATTTTTTATCTAATAATATGACCATGAAAAATAAAAATAATGAAAAAATTAATTCAAACGAAAAAAATAATTTAACTGAAAAAACTAATCATAATAATAATTCAACTGAATATTTACCTTTCGATGTAAGATGTGATAGTTGGTCTTTAGGAATAATTTTAGCTGATCTTGGAAAATGTGGTATAAGTTCATATGAATATATGGTTTCAGAAAAACCAAATGAAAATAGTAATAATATTATGGGAAAAGAAAAAAATATAGACTTAAATAATATAATTTTAAATGATTTAAATGTTACAGATGATGAGGAAATATTTTATTTAAAATATATAATGAATTATTATGATATTGGGACATTAGAATGGAATGATAGAGAAATAGAAAATGAAAAAATTAAAAAAAGTATTAACAAAAATGAAAAAAAGGTAAATGAAAAAGAAAATGTGAATATTAATAATTTAAATAAGAATGATTTGAATAATCAAAAAGAAAAAAATATGGGTCATAATACTATTTTAAGTAAAAATTATTCTATTTGTGAAGATATAAAAGATGTAGTGGAAAATGAACTTTTAAATAAAGGTAGTTTTAATGATGAGAATAAAAAAAATGTAGGAAATGAATTTTTAAATACAAATGATACTAATAAAGAAAAAGAAAACAAAAGCACAATAAAGGATATTTCTAATAAAGATAAAAAAAATGGAGACAATAATTTAGAAAATTTAGAATTATTTACAAAACATTACAAATTATTTATGTTAAAATATAAAGAATATTTAAGAAATGATAAAGTTGTGACTATCAAAAATGAGTTTATAAAATATTACAAAATGAATAAATATATTATGAATGAAAATAATATAGATAAAACATTGTTGTTATTATTTTTAATAATTAATAACAACATATCTTATAATTATAATTATGAAGTTCAATCATTTTTAAAAATAGAATTAACTATAAAAAACCTTGGTTCAGGAATATTTAAATTTAGGAATAAGAAAGAAAAGGAAAAATATTTACAAGAATTTAAAATGAATTTACAAAAAGAATATATGAATGGAAACAAAGAGTACTGGCATAGCAGATTAACAAATAAATACTTAGCTATTATTTTAAAAGATATATGTCATGATAATTTTTCAAATAGAAAAAAAAATATTAAAAAATGTTTTAATAAATTTGAATATCCTCTAAATTATAGTGATGAATACTGGAATTTATTAACTGACCTTTTAAATTATGTACCTTATGAAAGATTATTAGCCTGTGAAATTATTGGTCATGATTTTTTTTCTCTATCCAATGAAAAAATAAAAAATATAAAATTTGAAAATGCTAATGAATATAATGAATTATTTGATAAAAAGGAATTTTGTGATATAATATTAAGAAATTATTTACAAGAAAAGAAAGAAAATAAATATTTATATAAATCGTTACATAAAAATTCAGAAATAAATATTGATAATTCTGATAGTAGAAAAAATCATTTAAAAAATATAAATAAAATGAAAGAAGAAAATGTTTCTATTCAATCAGACAATCATAATAATATAAGAAAAAAGGAAAATGAATTCAAGATACATAAATGTGTGATAAATGAAACAAATAATAATCAGACAAACAATTTTATATCAACTTTATATGATACAATTATTAGAAATATGAAAAATAAATGTGATTTTTGTGATAATATAAGTAATTGTTTAGATTATAAAAACATTTTAAGAAAAATTGAAAATATAGAAAATGGCCTTTTAAATACTAATGATAATAATATAAATATAGTAAATGAAAATCATAAAAAAAATAAAATTTTATACCCAAGTAATATATGTAACAATATATATTATTTTTTAAATGAATTTTCTTTATATAGTGAGTTCAAAAATTTGGATATATTTATGAATATACATTTACCATTTGAACACTTATGTCTACCAATATGTGATGAAAAAACAGTTAAAAATAAATGTTTAATTAATTTCTTTTTTAAACCAATTTATTATTATTCTTTTCCCTATAAAATTATACATGCCTGGTATATAGGTCCGCTACATATTTATTTGAATCATCCCAATATTCCTGATTATATAAAACTTATTTGTTTAAGAGAATCAAATGTTTTAAGAAGAAAAGAAATTATTTTTTGGTCTTCTGAGGATATCATTTTAAAAAATATATTAAAAATCAAAAAGCTTTTAAACTGTTCCAATGATTTTTTATGTACTCCTTATGTTTCACATATAATAGGAAAACAATTAATAATGAGAAAACGATATCTTTTAAAATTATATAAAAAAAAAATTGTTTAAATTTATCATTAATTAAATATTTAAAAAAAAATAAAAAAGTTGAATATACCTGCCTATGGAATACTTTCGTTCATATTTTTTTTTTTGAAGTTTTACTTTTTATTAATATTACAATATTATTTTTTAATATATATTATTATTAATATTTTACTAAATAGTAAATAAATATTTTTACTAATGTTTTAGTTATTTCCCGTGTAGTCTTATGAATTTTTCTCTTTTTTAAATGATATTTTAATTTATATATATATTTATTTTTTTAATGTTATTTTAATTTATTTGGATCAATGTATTTAATTATACATAGACTTAATTTTAAGTTTCAATTTTTTTTTTTTGCATATATATTTATGTATTTTAATATTTTTTTGTTTAAAATATAGTATATTATTAAAATATTTTTGTTATTATATTCTTCAAAGAAAACGTAACTTTTTTAGAATCCCAAAAAAATAAATTTTTTTTTGATAAATTGAATATTTCAAAAAAAAAAAAGAAAAAACATCCGTTTATATAATAAGACTTATTCAATTTTTAAAATAATTGATTTTTTATTTTAAAATATATAATTTTAAAAGAAAATAATATAAAATAAATTAACTTTTAAATAAAATTTCCATCTGAAATTTATAAAAGAAATAATAACAATTCTGTATTTTATTTTATTCTATTTTACTTTAATTTTTTTTTTTTTTTTTTTTTTTTATTTAGCTAGTATATTCTCAGTTCATTTTTTAAATGTAGAAAACAAAATTCATGAAAATATACATGTCTTAATAATTATAAAATAAATAATTAGGATCATATATATATTTATAAATGTGCAAATGAAAAATAAATACTCTTTAATAAATAGAAAGTACAAATGTTATAAATTAAATATGCTTAGACATTTATTTATTAATTATTCAAACATTCTTTTTTTTTTCTCTTTTTATCTTATCAATATAATTAAGTGATTTTTATTTTAAAAAAGTAGATATATTTATTTTTTTTTTTTTTTTTTTTGTAAGATTTTATAACTATAATTTTTTCACCTTAAATAATTCAAAATTAATACAAATACGAAGGGAAAATGTTATTAAGATGACTACAAATAATATTGAGATTAAGCAAAACATTTTTTTATCCAACATATTTTGCCATTCAAATAATTTAAAAGTAAAATGAAAATAGAAATAACAAATTTTTTAGAAAACACATAAATATAGAATATAAATAATATAAATAATATATATCAAATATAAACTAGTAATGAATTAAAATCATTTTTATATAATTAAAAAAAAAAAAACAGAAATATTTATAACAAAAATATTAAAATTAAAAATAATAGAAATCAAAATCCATAGATAAAAGAAGTACTTATTTTTCTTACTATTATCATTATATATCTTTAAATATTAACACATAATTGAAATGTGTGATATATAATTATAGAATTTAATAAGCGGAAATTCTAAAAAAAGATTTAGAGAACAAAATAAAGAAAAAAATTACTTATCAGCTTACAATTTTACATGTGATAAAAATGATATAAAAGGTAGGAAAAAAGAACAAGAAAAATCAAATAAAAGAAAATAATTATTTTATATTTTATATATTCTTTTAATTTTTTTTTTTTTTTTTTTTTATTATTAAATTTAATGTCTATAAATTATAAAAGATATATTTGAAGTAGAAGAAATTTTTGATAGAGATTTTTCATCAAAGGAAAAAAAATGTAAGTTATTTGTTCCTTTCAAAAATAGAAGAGAAAAAGAACCAAGGTTTATTACAATAGAAAAATTAAAAAAGGAATATAAAAATATTAATATATACGATATATTAAATGAAAGAAAAAAGTTACTCGATTTTGAAGAAATAAATTTCAAATGGTCAGATATAATAAATTACGATGACTCTTCTTTTGATATGTTTACAATTGAAGAAATAGTAAAAGAATTAAAAGAAGAAGATTATGAAAATTTCATACATGAGAATAAGGAAGAAAAGAAAACGAAATTAGAAGATATAAATAATGAAAGCATAAAAATAAAAGAAAAATCAATTGTTCCATTCAAAGCAAAAGGAGTTATTTCATCCAACGTCAAGATTTTCGAAAGTATATTCGATGATATCTATATATATGGTTATAATTATGATTCTAATTTATTTAAAGTACAAAAAAAAGGATACAATGAATTTTATGAAATAGATAGAATTCAATTTTTTTTTACTAGTGAAAACCCAATTTTGTATGTAGAAAAATTAATTAATGCTATTAAAAATAAATCAAATAATTTAAAAAGAAAAAAATATTATTTAGACATTGATAGTAAATGTAAAAAGATGAATTGTATAATAAATGATGTTAATGAAATTATAGAAAATAACGAAAGTATTAAAAATTTTAAAAATATTGAAAAAATTAAAAACAATTTAAATGATTTCTGTAATATATGGCTTGGAAGAATTATTTTAAATAATGACTTCAGTAAATATTATGACAAACTTTATATTAACAAAAAGGAAATCAAATATTATAATTATGATTTTGAAAATAAAAAAAATATTATTAAGCAGTGTGTATTACTTGAAAATAAAAAAGTAATTAAAACATTTCTAGATATAATAAATAAGTGTGCTTTAATTCAAATATCTATATTTGATACATCTATTACTAGTCCATTTGAGATAAATGATTTTTTTCAATTGCAAAATACATCAGTTTTAAAAGTAAAAAAAAAAAAATAATAATAATAAATAAATAAATACAAATATGTTTATAAACATAAAATAGAATAAAATATAGAACAATTTTTTAATATTTTTTTCTTAAAACTTATGATTTATTAATTTTTTTTTTTTTTTTTTTTTTTTTTTTTTCAGTCTTTTGAAACAGTAAATAATATATGGATGAATGATATTAAATTTACTATAGAAGAAAACTTAAAAAATTGCACAAAAGGAAATTATAGTTTAAAGGATATATCTATTGAAACATTTAAATATACAAAAATAAGAATTTTTTTTAACATTTTAAAATTTATGATTGAAAAAAAAATAAATGAAATGTTAATAAATAATATTGAAAATTTTATAAATATTTTTGCTAACAATATGAAGGACTATAAAAAAAACAAAAGTTATATACCGGTATTTATAATTAATATAACTAAAAAATTTGATTTTTCAAGATTTATATTAGACAATAATCCTATTTCTTTTTATGAAAAATTTGAAGATTTGCTTTTTTCTACTTTGATTAAATATCAACAAATAGAAAAAATAGAAAAGTTAGTTATACCACAAATATTTAAAAATGATAAATTTATATTTTATAAATCTATGAAGGAAAATGATATTTTTATATCTGAAAAATTAAATGAAATAAGGAATATTTTTGAAGAATCAAAATTATTGGTAGATAATTATTTATCAAAGATTAATAGACATTCAGATATTTTAAATTTTAATATCAATGATGCTATAAAAAATATTGATATAAATACAAGTGTTGAGCATATTCAAAATATCATAAATAAAAATTTAGAAAAAATACAAATTATTAATGAAACAATTGAAGAAAATAAAAATTTAGGATTGTTTCTAGTAAAATGTAAAGATATCAAACTTTTTATTATTAATGAGATTAATAACTATGTTAAAGCTTTGACTAATATTATTGTTCAGAGGTAATTTTATATATAAATAATTTATATTAATAAAGAAATTAAATTAAGTAGTAATAAAAAAAAAAAAAAAAAATAATAAAATAATAATGAAATAAAATTATATTTTTTATTAAATTGATTTTTTATATTTTTTTAATGATTAGTTTTTTTTTTTTTTTTTGTTATCTATTTAATTATTATGCATTTGTGTTCATTTTTTTTTTTTTTTTTTGATATATGTTGCAGATACAAGGAAAAATATACATCAAATTTGATGTTTTATAATTCTATTATTGTAAGATTAAAAAAAAAGACAAATAAAATTCAAGAGATATATGAAAAAGAAGAATATATAAAAGATATGAAAAAAAGTCTTGATTTTGTTTCTCATGATATTAAAGAAATAAATATTTTATTTAATTGTTTAAATAAATTAAATTATAAATTTTCAAGTGATGATTATTTATCATACTGGAAAATTATAAATAGACCTAGTAAAATTGAAAAAATTGTTAAAGAAGTTAATGAAAATATAATAAAACAAAAAAATATTTTATTAGAAGAATTGATAAATGATGAAACAAAATTTCAGAGTAGCATTGTTGATATGAAAGAAAACGTTCAATCCATAAAAAGTTTCAGTGATGAAAATAATTACATAAGCATAAATAAATTTATTTTGACTGTTCAGAATCAGCTAGCTGTGTTAATAAAAGAGTCAAAAGAAATTAATTATCGTGAAAAACTTTTTAATATAGAAATATCAGATTTTTCTATACTTCTCAAAATTCAAAATGTAAGAAAAAAAAAAAAAATAAATACATTATAGATATTATAAGATTAAGTATATATATACATATATATAGTAATATTGAATATAAAAAATGGCAGAAAATAAACAAATTGATAATACATATGTAATATAATTTTATTGAATGTATTTTAATAATAGACATATTAATCATATAAAAATAATTATTTTTAGTAATTAACAAAAGAGAAAAATTAAAAAAAAAAAAAAAAAATGAAACAAATTTATATGAATATAAAATTATCTTTTTAAGGAGTTGAATTTGTATTATATATTTTGGCTAGTATATAAAAGCATAAAAATGATGGACGAAAGATTTGACAAAAAAATTAACACATTGAATTATAAGAAAATAGAAGACGATTTTAATCTTATTTTAAAAAATATGAATAAAATTAATAAACATGCTAATGAATACTACAAAAATAAAAATAGTTTAATAAAAAAAATGAACGAAAAATTAACCTTCTTTAATTCTTATGTATCTTTATTAATTTCTTTAAGAAAACCAAGTATAAAGGATAGACATAAAGAACAAGTAAATTATAAAGAAAAAATATAAAAGAAAAATAGGCTTATGTGTATATATTTATATAAATTATTTTTTTTTTTTTTTATTTCTAGATTGCACAAATTCTTGATGAAAATAATAATATTGATTTTAATAATATAACATTTAATGATTTATTAAAATTAAATATAAATAATAAAATTACTAGCATTATTAATATTTGTGAGAAAGCAAACAAAGAAAACTCTATAGAAAAGGTAAAAGAAATAAAACAAAAAAAAAAAAAAATAGAATTAGACATAATAAAAACGGTTATATTTATAAATAGATGATATATATTTTTACATTAATATATTTTTCTTTTTTCTTATTATTATAGTTTTTAGGAAAAATCAAAAATAATTTTAGTAAGATAGAATTTCAAATGAAACAAGAAGAAAATAATAAGATATTTATTATTTCCAATATAAATGAAATTTTAACTAAAATTGAGGAAAATCTGGTTTTAAATCAAAATTTGCTGATAATAAATATATATGAAATTTATCATAGCGATATAATTAATAATCAGAATTTGATGATAAATGCTAATAATATTATAAACACTTTAAAGAAAAGTCAAAATTTATTTTTATATTTAAGTAGAATTTTTATATTAACGGATATATCAAAACAGTTGATTAATGAATCGAAAAAGTATAAACAATATATATATACATAAAAATAAGCATATTAGTTTTTATCATAGATACTATTATATAAAAATGTTTATATACATTTTTTTTTTTTTTTTTTTTTTTTTTGACCATATATAGATATAAATTAATCTATAATAATTTTTTAAATATGTACAAATTAATTGAAGAAGATAAAAAACTAGAGAAATTTTGCTCAAGAAAAGATACAAAAGAAAAATTAACAGAATTATATAATAATTTAAATTTGCTATTAAAAAGTATAAATGAATATTTGGATTTAAAAAGAGAAATTTTTAATAGATTCTACTTTTTAAGTACTGATGATTTAATAAATTTGATTTCATCAAATATCAATGATCAAATAAATGCTTATTTATTTAAAATATTCAATAGTATATATAAACTAGTAATTGTAAATGGGCACATTATTGCTTATCATTCTCAAAGAGGAGAAGAATTATTATTATGTAATGAAATAAAAATAGAAAAAAAAGAGATAACAGAGATATTGGTTGAAGTAGAAAAGGAGATGTTTTACAGTGTAAAAAAACAAATATATGATAATATACTTGAATACCAAAATTTAATAGACATAAAAGAAGATGATTTTTTAAAAAATAATGAAGAAAAGATTTATAAAAGATATAAATCTTATGATCGCTGCTCTTATTCATCTTGTTCTTCTTCATCTTACAACAGTTTAATATGTGAAAATAGTTTTACAATGGAAAAAAATAAGGATAAATATCAAATGGAAAATAAAAATAATATAGATAATAAACATCAAATAGAATGTAAAAATCTTATAGATAATAATAATAATGGTAATAAAAATAGCTTATTATTAATGGAATCTTATGAACATATAAATAAAAAAATTAATTTTGTTTTAAATAAAAATAGTCAATTTGTATTAATAATAAAGAATTTATTTTGGTCAAATTTAGTAGAATTATTTTTAAAATACAATAATTTAAATAAATATAAAAAAATATTGAATGAAGAGTTATATGAATATATAAATATAATAAATAAAGTTGATAAAAAAAAGAGTGTATTATTGCATACCTTGATAATATCTTTAGTTCATAATAGAGATATTGTAGAAGAATTAATTAAAAAAAAAGTAAATGACTCAAATGATTTTAATTGGTTAATACAACTGAAATATTTTTATTACAATAAAAACTTATATATAAAATATTTAAATGAATCATATATATATGGTTACGAATATATTCATAATGATAACAAAATTATCTTAACAAATTTAATAAATAAATATTTCATTTCTATTTTACATTCCTATAGTTCTAAATTGGGGGTGTGTTCTGTAGGATCAGCAGGAACTGGTAAAACAGAGACAACTAAATATTTTTCAAAATTTGTTGGAAAATTTTTTTTTGTATATAATTGTAGTAGTAATATAAATTTTGATTTTTTAAAAAATTTGTTTTTTGGTATAGCAACAAATGGTATATTTTTTTGTTTTGATGAATTTAATAGAATATCAATTGAGGCACTAAGCGTGTTAGCTCAACAGTTATGTAATTTATTTAACGCAAAATCTAAAAAATTTGTTATTAAACATTCAAAAAAAAAAAAAAGCTTGAAAATAGATACTGAAGATAATTCAAATGAAAATAACTCTTATGAGACAGATGTAGAAAAATATACGAATGAAAAAGTTAATTACAAAATAAATGAAAAGGAATCAAATATTGATAATGATAATAAATTAAAGAAAAATGTAAAGAACATACCATCTAAAAAAAATATGCTTTTTTTTGAGGGTAAATATATAAATATCAATGAAGAATTTAACATTTTTATTATAATTAATCCGTTTTATAAAGGTAGAAGTGTATTACCTAATAATATTAAAGCGTTATTTAGATTTTTCAATTTTATTAAACCTGACTTTTTTACAATTGTAGAAGTTATGTTATACTCAAAAGGATACAAATATAGTAAAATTTTGTCAAAAAAAATAATTCTGTTATTTGAGTTATGTGAACATAATTTAAGTTATCAAAAACATTATAAATATGATTTAAGAACCGTTAAAAAAATTACCTATGTTATGGGTAAAATAATAGTAGGTAATAATAATAATCAAAATATTTTTTATGAATACAAATTTTTATTTATTGCTATCATTGAGTGCATTATGCCATCTATAGTTAAAAATGATATTTATCTTTTTCTTAACATTCTGAAAAATATATTTTATGAATTATATACTTATAATCAATCATTAAACACAAATAATAAGAAAAAAACTATTGACTTAAAAAATATTTTATCTAATAGTAGAAATAATGATAATGGCATATTGCTATATTTAAAAAGTTTTTACTGTAATATGAATGATGAAAACGAAACAACAAATAATACAAAAAAAAATAATGGGGAATATAATATTTTTATGTATGGAGAAAATAATGAAGACACGAAAAATACTTCTTTAAATAAGACAAGAAATGGGTATATCAATACTGAAAAGGAAAAAACAAAATATATAAAAAATAATGAAGTCAATAGTTTTGAAGAAATAAATGATTTAAGAGAAATGGGAGATTCAAAAGATATAAATAAAAATATGGTTGATATATTAGATAATAATATAAATTCAATAAAAGAAGAACATAAAAGCAATAAAACATTTTTAAATAAAAAAGAAATGGCTGAAGATTATTTGAAAAACATGTTAAAAAAAAAAATGTTAGAATTAAATTATGTTTGTACCAATAAATATGTAAATAAATTAATTCAATTATATAATATGATAAACTTCCACACAGGAATATTATTTTTATCATATCCTTTATCAAAAACAACATCATATAAAATATTAAATAGAACAATAAATACAATTAATGATAGAGAAATAATAAAAACAAAAATAAATGATTATATTATAAATGCAAACGTTGTAAGAGAGCTAGATTTGTTAGGTTTTTATGAAGAAGTTTCTAATAAATGGGTACATGGTATACTAACAAAAAAAATATTAGAAATAAATTCTAATTATAACAGTGACGAATATTTAAATATAATATATTTTGACTGTTATTTACATTCCTTGTGGATAGAAAATTTAAATTCAGTATTAGACGAATCAAAAATTTTGTGCTTATCTAAATGTGATATTATTCCTATTCATAAGCATACTCATTTTATAATGGAAACTTATGATTTAAAAGATATTACAATGGCAACTATAAGTAGATGTGGTTTAATAATTTTAAATGATTATGATTTAAATATTGCTGCATATATATGTTCTTATATAAATATGTTATCAAATAATTTTGATACTATTCATAAACATATTTTATTAAACTTATTTATAGTATTTTTTTATAAATCATTGCTATTTATTTATATTAATAATTTATTTGTTTATACGTTTAACGAATATTATTATTGTATATCCTTTATTAGATGTCTTGATAGCTTGTTTTCCTACTGCTTATTTGAAATAAATAATTCAAATAAAAAGGAGAGTTTTCAAAAATATATAACTTCTATTTTTATTTATTCTTTAATTTGGAGTGTAGGATCAAATACTTATAAAAGAGGAAGAAAAATTTTTAATGATTTTTTATGCAGAAATATTTTAAAATATAACTTAAAATTGAGTTTTGAAACATTAGAAGGAAGAATAATAGATATTCGTGAGTTGAATAAAAATAATAGAAACTTTAATACATCTTCGGATAATCACAAAAAGAGTGATATGGATAATTTCATTGAATATTCTTTAAAAGAACAAAATATAAAAGATATTAGTATGGAAGCAAAGAAATTTGAAGAAACAGAAAGCATATACATAAATCAGGATATCAATATAATGAATGGTGATACTAGAGGAAAAAGTATTCAGGAAAATGAAAAAATAAATGATGATCTGAACGAACAAATGAGTAACGAATTGAATGAAAAAACTAATAATGAATTATGTGAAGAAGCGAATGGTAAACAAAGTAAAAGCTACAGTGAAGATGATAGTGAAGAAAGTTCATATAATTCAGATATAGATATATACAATGAGAAAAATAAAAATATTGACAACTATTATGAAAGCTTAGATAATATATATGATTATTATTTAAAAAGTTATAAAAGATGTAAAAATTTATATAAGAACTACGATATAAATATAGAAGGATCAAATTGCTCCTTATTTGCAAAATCTTATGGAAATAATAGCTCCGATTCCAATTCAAGTAATGACAGTAGATATTTAAAAAGAAAAAAAAAAAAAAAGACATATATAAATAAATTTGATACTGAACATGTAGATGATATAATTCGTGATGTAAATTATTATAATGATATTTATAATTTAACTGAAACAAATGAAGATAAAAAGGAAAATAAAACAGATAATCATATATCCATAGAAAATGAGAAAAGCGCATTTAATAATGTGATGATTGAAAAGGATTCAGATAATAATTTAGAAGAAAAATATGATAATGTGTTTAGTGAACGCAAAGATAAAATTAATGATAAAAATAAATCAATTTACAAAAAAAATAACACAATAAGATATAATGAAGTAAAAATTGGAATAAATTTATTTGATTTTTATTTCAATTATCAAAAAAATGTTTTGAGTCATTTAAATAACAAAGAAAATAAATTTACAAGCATGGAAGAATATATGAATAATACAGAAATGATGATTAAACAAAAAAAAAACATTTCGATGTTGTATAATATTGATATATTTATAAGAAACAAAAAAAATATCATAATATCAGGTTGCAATAATATAGGGAAATCATTAGCTGTTGATTATTATTTAAACAAAGTTATACCAAAAGATAAATTTTTTACTGTTGAATTATTTTTTTCAAATAGTACAAAAAGTAAACATGTAAGAAATTATATTGAATCTAAATTAACCAAAAGAAGAAATAATTTTTACGGTACAACCAATAATAGAATATGTGTTTTCTATATTGATGATATAAACATTGAAACTGATATTAGTTCAAAAAAAAGAAATCACTATTTATCTTCACATGAATTTTTAAGAATGCTATTTAATTATAAATTTTTTGTAGACAAAAATTTGAATTTAAAATATATTGAGGATTTAACCTGCTTAGCAACAATGAACAATGCATATTCAAATAACATAAATAGTAGATTATATAATAATTTTAATATTATTTATTATAATAATTATAATTATAAAGAAATATATAGTATATTTTTTAATTATTTAAAATGTTTATTCAGTATTTATGATATAAATATCAAAAGTTTAGTATCAAATTTAATTGATATGCAAATAAATATATACAAAACACTCAAAGGAATGAAATATATTTATAACGATGGAAAAAAGGAAGAATTATTTTTAAATTTTTTTAATATAAACAATATTAAAAATATTTTTAAATATATATTTTATTTATCAAAAAATATAAATATTAGAAAAGAGCAAATGCTACTTTATTTTTTATATGAAAATAAGTCTTTATATGTAGAAAGTTTTAAATTAAAAAATAACAAAAAAAGATGCACTGAAATAATAAAAGATAATTTTAAAAAATATTTTAATGAAGAATTTGAAAAATTATCTTATAAATTTGATAATCTATTATTCTGTAATTTTTTAAACTTATATCAAAATGTTTACGAAGAAGTGTACGATATAAATGATTTGTACAATTGTGTACATTCTTATATTTCTGAATATAATAATAATGAAAAAATAAATATCATTTTGTTTGATAATATATTAATTTATATATGCAAAATAACAAAAACTTTTATGATAGAAAATTCCCATATCCTATCTATAGGAATAAATGATACAATTAAAAAAAATGTTAATAAAATTTGTGCTTTTATAATTAATAAAAATTTAGTCATATCTGAGCTGAATAAAAATAGTAAAAAAAAGGTTTTTAAGGAAGAAATTAAAAGATGCTTATTTGAATGTGGAATTTATGGAAAAAAATGTGTTTATTATTTAAATGATGAAAATAGTAATTTCGATTTCATACTAGAAAATTTAAACAATATTTATAATTATAACGATAGTTATTTGCTATATAACCAAGAAAACTTAAAAAAAATATATAATGAATGCAAAAATAAATGTGAAGAAGAACATTTAGTTAGAAATCTAACTAATATTTATAATATTTACAAAAAGACAATAAGAAAAAATTTTCATGTAAGTTTAAATATATCCTTAAACAGTTCTAATGCAATTTTAAAATATCCTTATATTTTAAAAAACTCACATATTATTTATTTTGAAGAAGATAATAATGAGGGATTATATATTATTACAAAAAATTTTTTTAAAGATTCAAACAGTAATATCAAGAAGTTAAAAAATGATGATGGTATAGAAGAAAAGGAAGAAAAAAATGAAATCATAGAAGATAAAGAAAAAATTGTAGATATTTATGATAAAAATGGAGTATCTATTGATCAAAAAGGTGAAATAGAAGAAAAAAATATGAACAAATTATGTATTGATGACGATAAAGTCGCTAATGTAGAAAATAAGAAAGCTAATAAAAATAATGTAAATTATGATAAATTAGACAATTGTGAAAACGTTGATGCTAATAAAAACATTACTGATAATAACAATTTTCTTCATGGATCTAGAGTTGATGATAGTAATGATAAAATTAATGTTGACATAGAAAATGATAATTATAATGTAAATGAAAAAATTGACATTAAATATAAGAAAATTTGTGTTGATAATAAAAAAAATGAAGATACTAATGAACTTTTACATGAAGTAGATATTGAAATGGTAAATTATGAAAAGGATTTTAAATGTTTAGAAAATATAATAGAAAACAAAATACTAATTAGAATTCATAAAGAGATTATATTATTATCCAAAAAATATTACGAGGAAAAAAAAATTAATGTATGCATAAATTCAAATAAATATATTCATTTACTTCACTATTTTGATTACTTTTATAATTTAAAGAAAATCGAATTTGATAAGAATATTAATTTGTATAGCAAAGCATTAAGTAAGTTACATAAGTGTGAACAAGATATAAAAGTTATGAAAAATCATTTATTAAACATCCAACCTATACTAAACAGTACAAATATTGAAATGAAGAAAAAAGTAAACGAAATAGAGAGAGACACTAAAGATGCTTATGTGAAACGATCAGAGATAAAAAAAAAAGAAAGTGAGATGAAAACTAAAATAAAGAATATTACCAACTTAAAAAACGAAGTTAATGAAGAAATTTCAAAAAGTTTTGCTTTATTAAATGAATCATTAAACAATTTAAATAAATTAAAAGTAGAGCATTTAAGAGAATTAAAAGCATTTGTAAATCCACCTTCTATTGTTGTTATGGTAATACAATGCATTTTAACTTTTCTAAAAGAAGATGAAAAATATCTACAATCCAAAATTATCAAACCGAAAACAGTAAATTATTGGATATTAGCTCAAAAAACTATTTTTAGGGATTCCAAAGTATTTTTAGATAACTTAAAACATTATGACAAAAATTTGATAGAAGAAGAAATGATAGTAAAAATTACACCACTTATTAAAAATAAAAATTTCAATCCTAAATTTGTAAGAAAAGCTTCGAAAGCTTGTGAAACTATGTGCCAATGGATACTTGCTATTTATCATTACTTTATTATTAATAAAGAATTAAAACCGAAAAAAGAAGAAGTTGTTATGTTAGAAAAAGAAATTAATAAAGAATTAGAATATTTAGAAGTGTGTAAGGGAGAATTAAATATTGTAAACAACAACTTAAGCCGATTAGAAAAGGAAAAAGAGGAAATTACAGAAAAACAGAATAAATTAGTTGAAAAAATAGAAAATATAAAACAAAAAATTAAAAGGTCTAAAATAATTTTATCTTGTTTGTTAGATCAGGAAATTAAGTGGAATATCAAAAAAAATTCTTTTAAAAAAAAAAGAGATTTACTTATTGGAAATTGTATAATTATATCGTCTCTTATGAATTATATTTCTTATTTTTCTTATGAATATAGAACCATTATTAAGTTAAAAATTCAAAAAATTTTAAACTCTTTTAAAATAAAATATTCTAAAAATATATCCATATACAAATTTTTAGAATCTAAAATTAACTTAGAAAAATGGATAACTTATGGATTAACTAACAGTAAATTTTATTTTGAAAATGTAGTAATAATGAACAATAGTATTAAATATAATTTGTTAATTGATCCTCATTTTATAGTTACTAGTTTTTTGAAAAATTTTTATCATAAAAAAAAAGATGTAGAAGTATTGAGGAATAACAGTTCTAATTTTATTGATAAAATTGAAAGATATATGCAACTTGGAAATATTATATTATTTACTCATTATGATGATGATGCAAGTATATTATTTTCTTCTCTTTTTAATTATAAAATTAATAAGAGCATAAATGATTTTAAAAATGTTAAATCTAGAGTTAACTGTATTTCTTCAAAAGAAACAATCAATAATTTAAGCAATTATGATATTGCAAATAAAGAGGTAAATACAACAAATAGTCTTAATAATACAAAAAATAATTGTGTGAATTTTAATAATAAAATTATTACTATTAATAGTTCCTTTAATATATATTTTATTGTATATGGAAATACATATTTTGATGATAGTACTCAAAATTATCTTAATATAATTGATTTTAATATCAATTTAAAAATTTTAGAAGAATACTTTTTAGAAAACCTTATAGAAAAATTGTCTAAATCATCCAACGAAAATAGAAGGATACTAATTCATCAAATTCATGATTTAAATAACCAAATGATGAGTAAGGAAAATGAAATCTTAAATATTATGAATTATAAGGAGGATATTTTAAGTGACGATAGTGTTGTCGTTACATTTGAAAATGCTAATAATTTGTTTCATGAAAATAAAAAAAAAATTAAAGAATTTAAAATAAATAAAAAAGAGATTATGAAAATAAGACAAAACTATATAAGTATGTCGGAACATATATCTATAATTTACATATGCATAGATAATTTAATATCCTTAAATCCATTTTATAATTTTTCCATTTTATCTTTTGTTAATTTGTTAAATATAAGCATAGATAAATCAGAGGAAAATAAGATATTCGATAAAAGAAAAAAAGATATTTTAAATATTTTCACACAAAAAATTCATTATGAGATTTCAAGAACACTATCAGAAAAGCATCAACAAATCTTCTTCTTTTATTTGGTATGTATGATAAATATATATAAGAAGGAAATTGAATACGATGATTACTACTTTTTCATATATGATAGTTACCCAGAAAATTGTAAAATAAAAAACGAAATTGTAAAAATGGTAACAGAAAAGGAGAAAAGGAAGAAAGAAGAAAAAGAAAAAAAAAAAGAAAAAGAAAAAGAAAAGATGGAAGAATTTGAAAAAGACAAAGAAGGAAAAGCTGAAGAAAAAGAAAAAAGCAATAATAATAATAATATTGTTAATGAGGTAGAAAATAACGAAAATGAAAGTACTACAGAAAATAATGATACATCCTCAGTGGAAGAAAATAATGTAAAAGGTGAAAATGAAAATTATTCATTATTTGATGAAGTATCTTTGCATAATCTTGAATCAGAAGGTAGTGAAGATAATGATGAAGAAGAGAAAATTGTAAAAGAAAGCAAAAAAGGAAAAAAAGATAGTATTATAAATAGTAATTTAAAAATGAGTAATATTAAGTATATGCAATTGCAAAAAACAAATGAAAACGACGATTTTATGAATTTATATGATAATAATCTCCTTATAGAAAAAGAAAATAAAGATGATGAGGAAACAAAATTTGTCTTTGATTTTGAAACTAAAAAATTATCATGGTTAAATATGAAAGAATATATTAGCATAAAAAAATTAATAAAAAAAGAAAAGTACTATCTTTTTTTTAAAAAGGTTTTTAATGAATATGAACATATTTTTAGAAGCATTAAAACTGATCATACAATTTTACAACATAAAAACATTAAGAATTTATTGAGTAATTTTGAAAAATTAATTATTTACAAAATTTTTAGATTTGATGTATTGAATATAAATATAAATAACTATGTGGATAAATATTTGAACATTACTTCTCCAAGATATCCAAAAGATTTATATAAATGTTATGAACATTCATCAAAAAATAAGTTAATATTAATTTTATCAGAACGCCATTTAAATACTGCAAGTGAAATTATGATATTAAATGAAAAAATTACAGGAAAAAATAATTTAATTATATATAATAAAAATGACAAAAATTATTTAATTCAAATATTAAATGATTCTATTAAAAATGGTTTTTGGGTATTGATTGAAAATGCTCATTTAAATATTCATCTAATTTTAGAAATTGAAAAATATATAGAAATTTGTAACATTCAATATTCTAATCCTGAATTTAGAATATGGATAAGCACGAATTCCGTTAATTCCTTCCCATATTATTTATTAAAATTATGTGTAAAAGTAACATTTGAAAATGTATATAATTTAAAGTCGTGTTTACTAAATATTTATTCCAATATAGAAAAAGAAGAGGAAAAGGAAGAAGAAGAAAATCAAAAAGAAGATGAAGATGAAGATGAAGAAGAAAATAAGGAAGAAGAGTTAGAAGATGATAGTGAATATGAAGAAGAAAATGAAGAATATGAAAATGATGAAGAAGATGATAATGAAAATGAAGAGGATGATGATAGTTATAGTGAAAATCTACCTAGAAAAAAAAAAAAAAGAAATATAAAAAGAAATGAAAATGAAAGTATTTTAATAAATAAATTAAATTTTAGTTTATGCTTTTTTCACGCCTTAATTCAAGAAAGAAACAAATTTAAAAATAAGGGATTTAATAACTATTACGAATTTACTGATATAGAATTAAAATTATCTAAAGAAAATATATGTAAATTTTTTAATAGTAAAAATATTGATATTAATTTATTAATATACTTAATTGGAAATATTATATATGGTGGTATCATAATAGATTTAAATGATCAAAAATGTTTTAATAGTATTCTAAAAAAGTATATAAATGAAAAAATTACTTATTCAAATAATGAATATAAATTTAATAATAATTATTATTGTCCTCATAGTTCAAATAAAAATATTTTTTTACGATATATAAAATCATTGCAATTTATTACTGACTTTTCTATTTTTAATTTACACCCATCTCTTAACATTTTGTACTTAAAAAATTACAATATGAAAATTTTAAAAAATTTAGAACGTTTAGAATGTAATGTAATGAAAGAAAAAACGAATGTTCATGTTTTGTTTATAATTGATGAATTAAAAAAAATTCTTCCTTCTTTTATTGATACTAATGTGTTAAATGATTTATTTTTAAATAATTTAAATTGTTCTATTATTACATTTTTGAATATTGAAGTAGAGAAATATAATAATTTATTAAGAATTATTTATGATGATTTAACTAATATTATTAATTTTATAAAAGGGAAAACTAATTTTAAAAATATATGTCATACATATAATTCAATAATTAATTTATCTATTCCTAAAAGATGGATAACTAATTCTTTTTATTCTGATTTACAAATCTTCCATTTTGCTAAATTAATAAAATTAAAAATTTCTTATATAAATAAATACATAATTAACTTAGATAATAAAATATTTAATTTAGCATCTTTTATGTCTCCAAAAGTAATATCTATTTATGTATATTTTATTATACATATATATTAATGGAAATTAGTTTATTATAAAAAAATAATTTATTTTATTTTAATTTACATTTATTTTGTTTATCCCATATCTAGTCGTAAAATTTATAAATTATAAAATTATTATTAGTTTCATCTTTTTTATTATTGCTCACTAAAATTATTAAAATAATTATTATTTTACAATATTTTCTTATGTTTATTTTAAAAGTGAATTTTTATTTATATATCTATTTATTTTTTTTTTTTTTTTTTTTTTCCATAGAGTTTAATGCTAGCTATAAGAGAAAAATTTAGTAAAGAAATTAGAGTTGATGCAAATAATATAAAATTAAAATATGAAATTTCTAACTACTTTAATGAAAAAGATATAAAAGAAGATAACTATTTTATAGGTGGTATATTTATAGAAGGAGCTGCTTTTGATGTAGTAAATTTAATAATAAAAGATTCATCATCTAAACAATTATATTATCCTATGCCTTTTATAAAAATACATTTTGCTAACAAAAAAATACCTAATCTTAAAAGTAGAACTAATAATTTTAATTTCCATATTTTTAAATGTCCCATTTATAAAAACATAAATAAAACAGGTAAATAATGAATGTACACAATATATATAAATATATATATGTATGCTCATAATATAACTTTTTTTTTCTTTAGATAATAATTTGGATAATAACGAACCTATATTTTATTTAAAATTCAATTCAAAAGAGAAAAGTGAAAAATGGGTAGAGAGAAATGTTTCGGGTGTATTAATATTAAAATAACAATATAACTGAAAATGTGCATGTATTAAAAATAAAATACATATATTTTTTCCTTTTGTTCTAATAATTATATACAGTATATTTGTTATATTAATTTTTTTTTCCAGATTTTACATTACAAAAATATTAATAATTTATTTTATTTTCCCTTTAAACTATATTTTAAAATTTAAACCTAAAATTTTAAAAATCTAAATTAATTATAAAAAAAATTAATAAGAAACTATATATATATATTTATTAACTAGCTTTTTCTTTATATTAATAAAAATTTATTTATTTCATTTATTTTAAATTTTAAAAGAAAAAATATAAAAAAAATTAAAAAAAAATACTTTATTTTTATGTTTATGTATTTCTTTTATCCATATAGTTGCAACTTATTTCGTTATTTAATATTCTTAATTTTAATACAAAAAATGATTTATGTTTTGTTATTTATAATGGAAATAAAACAGTAATTAAGTATATTTCATTATAAAATTTTATTAATAGTGTAGAAAAAAAATAATAATATATTTTTTTTTAATTCAATGATTAAAATTCTCTTATAGAATGTTTCTTTGAGTGTTTAAAAAAAAAAAAAGATAAGAAAATTAAAATACAAAAAAGTAAATTGAAAAAATTCATATATTTTTACCTTTTTAAAATATTCATAAAAATATTAGATATATATATATATATTAATTATATATTGATTATATATTGATTATTAAAAATTTCCTTTCTATGTATAATTAAATATGAAGTCAAAAAAATACAAAAAACGAGATTAAGATTTTTTAAAAAAAAAAAAATTAACATCTTTAAGAATAAAGTCTCATATTTAAATATTTAAGTAAAATTACTATAATAATGATATCTATTGTAATAAAGTTTTAGATTAAAAAAAAATAAATAAATATAAAGTTCTTTAAGATAAAATTTTATATAAAATATTTAGTATAAAAAATAACATATATTAAAAAAGAAAAATGAATAAAATACTAAATTCATATAAATCAAAATTAATATTTCCTATGAGTAAAAGAAATTTTTACAATTTTAATTGTATTTTCAAAATAAAAAATGGCATCCCCATAAAAAAAAATGAAAAAATTAATTTTAGCAAACATTTACAAAAAAACATAGTAAGTTACATAGATTTTAGAAATAAAATACCTAATAAAAGGAGAAAAATATATTTGTTTTCTTCTCTTATTACTTGTATAATTGGATATAAAATATATAAATGGAATGAAAGTAGAGAGGTAACAGATTTTCTAAATGATATGAAAGAAATATCTGATGAAATTTTTGATAACGTAGATAACATAGTATTATTTGTGCTAGATAAAAATAAATTAAGTGAACAAAAAACAAAAATTCAAGAAATAAAGGATGAAATACAAAAACTTAATATTAAAAATATTAATTTTCTTTATACATATAATGAAGAAAGTAAAGACTACGCTTGCTATCTTTATAAAGGAAGAAGAAGAAGAAATTTAACAAAAGAGGAATTAACAAGTAATTCAATTAAAAATATATTAACAGATTTCTTTACACCTGTTAGTGAAAATTATCAAAAAATAAATCAAGGAAATAACGATAATTTCCCAACTTTTGTAACTCATGATACATTTGAAAAGGAGGTAATTTAAAAAAATAATTAAATAAAATACAAGATAACTTCTACAAGTTTACATGTAATTGATATATTAAATATATTTACTTTTTAGATTATTGAAGACTCGAAGAATAATGAAATAATTTTGGTTTTATTTGAAAATACGTGTTTCCTATGTTTTTTATACAAACCATTTATAAATACTTTACATAAATTATTTAAGGATAATAATGTTAGATTCTTTTAAATTGTTTGATAGTTAAAATTATTTACTTTTATTTTATTTATTTATTTTTTTTTTTTTTATTATAGATTCAAGTAAAAATAAAGAAATATAACGTAGAGAAAAATGATTATGCACCAAATATGATAGTTTGTAGAGGGACACCAACTTTTTTATATTATCATAAGTATTAAATTTATAATAATTTTAAAGTACATACATTATATATATATGTATTTTTTTATATTTCAATTTTCAGTGGCAAAGGAAACAAATTAGTTGAGTATAAACCAAATGACATTATCAATAAAATCGATGAAGTAAATTTCTTTTTTTTTTTTTTTACAAATTTTCTTTTTATTATTTATAATTAATTTTTTTTTTTTTTTTTTTTTTTTTATATTCTTTCTCTTATAGATTATTAAACCTCCCAAAAATATTAAAGAACAAATGATAGCCAAGGCAGAATTAATACATGAAAGAATGCATCATTTTGGTCACTTAACGTTGTGGTATGTTTATAATTAAAATAGTGTATGAATTTTTTTACTTAGAAAAAATGCATATATATATATATGTAAATATAATATATATTTATTTTTTACATTATGCGTTTTTTTAGGATGACTGAATCGAAAATTATAGAAAATATGCTTATAAAAAGACACATAAAAGATATTTCAAATGTATGTATTAATAGAACATTTGTTTTTTTTTTTATAACTTCTTAAATTGCTCTTCATTTTTTACAACATAAAATTTCTTTTTTTATTATATAGTATTAATTTATAAGTTTAATATTTGTTTATGTAAAATATATTTTAAATATTTTTTATATATTTTATAACTTATTTCTTATTTCTCAAGAGTAATGACGACGAAAGTCTTTATAATGAAATACTTACATCTCTTATTGAGGAGGATATGCAAAGAAATGATTTAATAGAAGATAGTTTAAATTATACTAAAGGGAAAATAAAAGAAGCAGAGAAAAGTTGTTTTGTAGTAGCTATGGTAATTTTCAAAAAAAAAAATATATATTTATATATACACATCATTGAATTTTTTTTTTCATATTAAGTATATAGATTTATTCAATATTTTTAAATGGATATATTTTTTTCATTATAGATGATGGCTCAAGAATTAATAGATGAAGAAAAAAAAAGTATGATATGATGTAGGTTTTATCTGTCTGTTCAGGATTTTTTTTTTTAGCATAAGTTATTTAAAAAAAAAAAAAAAAAAATAAGATAGGTTAATAAAAAAAGCCAATAAATGTTTTTAAAGTATGGAACTATATACATTTATATATGAAAATAATATTCCAATTTTGGAAATTTGAAGATAAAAAAGAGTTAAGCTTTTTTATTGTAAGTATGGTACACACAATTGGAAATTAAAAAAAAAAAATTTATATAAAAAAGCTTGAATGTTCAGCATATTTATTCAAATAATAATAATTATTTTATTATTATTAATGCTAATTTTATTGCCGTTTTAAATACTTAAAGTGTGTAAAAAAAAAAAAAAAAATGAAATTCTTAATCATAACTTAATAGATAGTATAATTTTAAAATAAATTTAAAGACAACATTCATGAGATTTATATATTTTACTTTGGACTAATACATTTACAACAAAGAAAAATCTCATATAGGTTAGGTTTTATTTTCATTAATAAATTTTAAATTTTATTTTATTTTTTTTTCATTTTTACTTTTTTAAAAAAATTTGTTCTATATTTTGAGAGATGTATTATTTATTCATTATTTAAACACGAATGTGATAAGAAAAAAATATATATATTTGTAATTTTTTTTTACTTTATTATATAGTACATTTAAAAATGTTTTATATTACTACTATTTTATCTCTTATATTTTTAATTCTATTCATTTTTTGTTTTAGTTTTTAGTTTTTTATTATATTTACATCTTTATTTTTCTCCTATACTTTTTTCTTTTTTCATCATTTTTTATGATACTATTCTTTCGTTATTGATAATTTTTAAGTTTTATACATAACTGTACATTGAATTTTAATTAAACAATATATAAGTAGATATTTATATACTACTTTTGTGGATAGTAATAAACGATATTAAAAAAAATATATTTCATTTTTTATTTTATTTCTTATAATATATAGTAATAATTGTTTAATTAGAAATTGTAATTTAAAATAATTAAGATATATATGTGATGTTTCAAAATGCTTTTAATGAGTTTTATATTTTTAGAAAGCATATAAATGTATTTAGATAATAAAATAATAAATTATATTTCATTCTTATATTGTGATATTTTTCAAAATGGATAAAGCCAGTAAATTAAATAGTTTAGTTAAAAATGTTCAATTATTCGTTAAAAAATGCAGAGAAAAAAATAAAAAATTGCTAACTTTGAGCAGCTTAGATGACACTGATGAGATGTATATTCCGGGAAACATTATAAATGGTAAAACAAATGTGGATAGAAGTTTTAAGGAAAGTTCAACTGTAAATAGTTCTAAATGTTCAGGTGAATCAAAATATAATATTTATAAAAATTTTGATAACGTATATAGCAAAGAATTGAGGAGAACAAATACTGAAGATGATATTCATAATATTTCTGATTATTCGGATAACACTTTTAAAAAAAAGTTTATTAAATTAAAAGAAAAAGATAGTATTAGTGAAACTTTTGAAGGATATAAGAAATTATTGGATACTGATAAAAACAATACTAATAATAAATTAGGAGTTTTCAAAGAAAGAATAAAAAGTGGAAATATAGATGACTTAAAAAGTAAAATTATGAAATATGATTTGGATTTATTGAAAATATATAATAAATTAGAAACTACCACAAAAAATAGATCATTTAGGAAAAAAAAAAAAAAAAAAACATTAAGAACATATAATTCAGAAATTTTAAACGTAAAAAATGAACTTTTTGTAAAAAATAATAGTTCTGTAAAAAAAAGAAATATATATAGAAGAAAAAAATTTGAAGATAAACGTGAACTCAAAATTAATTTTTCCAAAGAAACTCCAAAATTAAGTTCTAAAAGTTCATTTTTAATGTTTGGTAACAAAATTTCAAAATTTCAGTGTGTAGGTTCATCTAAGAAAACATTCGATGAATTCCTTTTTTTCCAAGAAGGTTTATCAAATAGATTAAATAAAAAAAATAATACTTCATCATATGATATTGGGTGTATGTATATGAATAGTGATATAAGTATAAATGAATCTAAAGATTTGAATCAGAAAAAATCAAATGACTTGTTAAATAGTTCCAAGAGTCTTAGACAATTCAAATTTTTAAATAATAGTAAAAGGAATATTGATTACTATAAAAAAATGATTGAAAATTTAGAGGAAACTATTGGAAAAACTAAAAAGAAGAATAATAGCTATATAGATGATGTTGTTAAAATAATAAATTGTTTGCTTCATGATTACGTTCCTAAATTAATTGATAGATATGAATACTATATGAATACTTTAGATGATAAAAATAAAATATTGAAGCAAAAAATTAGAGAGTCATTAGATTATGGTGATATTCAATATGAAGAAATTCGAGAGCTAAAGGCTCAATTAATCCAAAAAAATAATAAAAATAAAAAATTAAATGATACAATTGAGATGCTAAAAGATAAATTATCATATATAAATGAATTAGAATTAAAAAATGCAGAATATTTAGATGAAATTGTATTATTAAGAAATAGAATAGCATTTTTAGAAAGGATAATAGAAGAAAATGACCAAACGAAGGAATCTCAGGAGCTTCGAAGAATGCGTCATAATTTAAGAACCATATACAATAAAATGAAAAATGAAATGAGATATATTTCTACATTAAAATTAAAATATTTGAAAAAATATAAAAGGAGAAAATTTTCAATTAATAAATGGAATTATTTAAAAGGAAAAATACATGAAAAAGAATTAACTATAGATGATAGAATAGAACAATTTTCAGTAGATGTAAAAAGAAAACAAAGTGAAAATCATATTAATATAGAAAAAGATATGAATGAAAATATAATTAATGAGAATAAAAAAGATACTTATAAGGATAAAAACGAAGAAACATTGGAATATTTAAAAATTTTAAAGGAATATGTAGACAAAAGTGTTGGTACTGATGATAAATATATACATGAAAAGTTTGAGAAAAATGATAAAGCACACATGTTAAATAATGTAAGAGATGAATTAAAATTTGAACGTAAAATTATGACAGCAAATAAAGGAATTAATACTGTTTTAAGCAGTAATATATTTATTGGGTTATTAAAAAAGACAAAAAAAGGTAATAATAAAATGGATAATTGTAGTTCTATACCCATGGAAAGTTATCCTTATTACCATTACTTCTACAGTAATATAAATGAAAATAATTACTTTGGCTATAATAATGAGGAAAAAAAGAAAATTCATAAAGAAAAATTAAATAAAGAAAATAATATAAATGAGAAATATAGTTTTCATTTTGTTAATGACAAAAATAGTAAAGCTGAAAAAGAACTTTTTCTTCTTGGAAATGTATCAAAAAATCCTTTATTAAATTATAATGAAAAATATAAAAAATTTAATTACAATCCAATGACTTTAGATGAATATAGTACACCATTATATAATAATTTAAAAAAATATATTTATAATTATGATAAAGTAAAATTTAATGAAGATGATATGTTAAAAAATATGAACTTTTTAGAAAAAAACAAATTACTTAATCTTTTATATGAAAATACAAGTAAAAGCAATGATTGGAACTCTATAAATAAAAAAGACAAAAATTGCATTATTTCTTCTATTTGTTGTGATAAATTACGTAGGTTATTGATGGGTAAAATGAACTGCTATTTATGCAAAACTAAAAATATACATGATAGCTCAGATAATATATTATATAAAAAATATAAATTGAAAAAATCCTCTATTCTAAATAATAGTTCTTCGATTGGTAAAAAATTAAAATTTGATGAAATTAATGGGAATATTTTACATTCCTATAAAGACAACTTTAAATTTAAAAATAGGTATAATAATAACATTGATATCATCAGGAATGAGCATAAAAATACTAATAACATTAAGAATATAAGCAACCAAAATAAAATAAGTAATAACAATTGCAATAACGAACAAAAATATGAAGATTATAAAATTAATAACTATTATGATAATAAAAAACTTAATGAATATGACATTGATATTAATAAAGATAAAAATAATGATAATCAAAATATGTGCAAAGATACTAAAAATATTTCTAAGGTTAGTATAAAGGATGTAGATAAATTTGAAAATAAGAATAATGACAATATTAAAAATTTTAATGTGTATGAAAATCAGTATGTTAATAATGATAAAAAAATCTTAGAGTTTTATAAGAATCAATTCAATAAAGATAAAAATAATAATTTAATTAGTAAATTATATGATCATGAAAATGAGATAGTTCCAGCTATAATTAGTTCTAACAAAAATAAAAATTCAAAAGTGATAAGTAATAATAAAAAGAAAAAACAGTTAAACAATAGAGAGATATTAATTATATCTGAAATGAAAAAAAATGATGATACTATTTCGCAAATTAATGATTATAAATATAATAGGAAAATAAATTCTTATGTATGCGTTGATAATAATTATAATATACAAAAAAAAATGATTATTCATAAAAAAGTATCAAATTACAATAATATACATAAAAATAACTTAAAAAAAAGTAATGGTAAATATTCAATAAAAAAGAAGGAAAATCTAAAATATGACTTATCTAATTGTAAGAATAATGATATTATTATTAGTCAATCTATGGAAAAAGCGTATTGCTTAAAAGATTCAATTTTTCATAAAAAAGATGTAATACATAATCCATATAAAGAATATAAGAAAAATGAGAGTTTTTATTCGGAAGAAAAAAATTTTAGGTATTATAACGTTTTTAATCAATATTTAGACATAAATAAAAAAAACTATGGAACAATTAATAATTACTTACATAATAATTTTTTATATATAATGGAGATGTAGTTAATTGGAAAAAAAAATTAAATAAAATAATAATTTTTATATATTAATTATATAACAATGATGTACAAATGACTAAAAAAAAAAAGGTATTTTTATGATTTACTTGTTCTCGCGATTAATAATCCTAAAGAAGGTAAAGATAAAGAGGTGAAAAGCACATATATTTTTGCACCTTTTTTTTTTTTTTTTTCTAAAATATTATTGTCATTTTAGTATAAATTTTTCTAAAATAAGATTTAGGAAATATTACACTAGTTTTAAATAGAATTTTATAATTCAAAAAATTTCAATACATTGTTAGAAGAATTATTGCATAATTTTTTTTTTTTATTGTATTTATACGTATACATAGGAATATAAATATACATATATACATTTATTTATATATTTATTCATTTTTTTATTTATAATTTAGTTCATTTAGTAATATATATTTTTTTGATAATTTCTGTCACTCATATATTCTATTTATTATCAAAAAAAAAAAAAAAAATAAAAATAGTATGAATATTTTAATAAGGTTTTTATTTTAATAATTTTTAGAAATATTATGGTATGATTTATTTAAGATAATTCAATGCTGTTGCATAATTTTTGTTTATACAAATTTGACACAATTATTCATTAAATATTTTACATTGTTTCTATACCCTATTTTTTCTTTTGTTATTGTGTTAGTTTTCTTAATAAATTATTTTAACAAAACTAACGCATTTATTGTAATCATTATTTATGTTAAACTGCTTGTTTCGTTTTAAGAAATATATGCAGTTTAATTTATTATAAAAATATATAACTAAAAAAAATTTTATTATCTTTATAAATTAAAAAAAAGTTATCTTTGTAGGTAATTTATTGCTAATGATAGAATGTAGAAAGTGAAAAATTTTTAATAAGAATTCATTATTTCATCAGAACAATTTTTTTATTAAATAAAATTACTTTTATTTGATAATAATACAATTTTCAATTCTACTAAAAGAACAGTAATAATATATTTATGTTAAAAACATAAGGATATTAAAGAATAATTTTTTTTTTTTAGAATAGGTTCAATTTAAACATGTCATTAACGTATAAGATAAAATTGAAGAAAAAATTTACTTGTGCACATGATGCTTCATATATTACTATTTTTTTTTTTTTTTTTATTGTATGCGAAATATAAGCTTTTTTATACTAATAATAAAATTTACTAAAATATAAAAACTGTCAAAAATAAAAATGATTAAGTCAGAAAATTTTTTTTTAAAAATTTTTTTAAATATATAATTTATGTTTCTATGTTTCATAACAATTTGTTTTTTTTTGAAAATTCATTAAAGTTTTTTTTTTAAATATATAATTTTGGTTTCTTTTTATTACAATTTTTTTTTTCTTATTTTTTATCGAAGAATTTGTAGAAAAAAACAAAAAATAAAAATAATGGTAATAGATATAAATTTATTTAGGAGAGAAAAAGGAGGAAATCCTGAAAAAATAAAAGAATCAGAAAAAAATAGGTTTCATGATGAAACAAATGTTGATAAAGTAATTGAATATGATGAGAAATGGAGGAAATGCATATTTAAATTAGAAGAATTAAAAAAATCTATTAACATAGTAAACAAAGAAATAGGAAATAAAAAGAAGGTAGATAAAAATGCAAATGTAGAGGATTTAATAAAAAAAAGTTTAAGTATGAAGGAGGAAATACCACTATTACAAAATGAAGAAAAATATTTATTGAAACAAAGAAATACGTATTTAAACAAAATTGGAAATATATTAAATAAAAAAGTTATTGTTTCTAATGATGAATTAAATAACAAAGTAATAAAAACATGGGGTGTGTGCAAAAAATTAGAAGTTACTAATAGTATAAATGAAAATACAAATGAAAAAAGAGAAATGGGTCCTATAAATGGTTCTAGTAGTAAGTTGAAATATTATCATCATTTTGATTTATTAAAAAAAATTGGTGGAGCTAATTTTAAAAAAGGTATTCAGGTTGCTGGACACAGAGGCTATTATTTAACAGGAGTAGGTTTTTTATTACATAATGCTATTTTACAGTATGCTTTAAATTTTTTAGTTAAAAAAAAATATTCTCCAGTGTATCCACCTTTTTTTATGAAAAAAAATATAATGGATGAATGTGCTGAATTGGATGATTTTGAAGAAACACTTTACAAAATATCATCTTACAATATGGATGATAATAAAAATGATTTAATAAATAAAAATGTTTCAAATGAAGAGTCATGTAGAGATGATTTATATTTAATTGCAACATCCGAACAACCTTTATGTGCATTACATAGAGATGAGGTATTAGAATCAAAAAATTTACCATTAAGATATGCAGGTTTTTCTTCTTGTTTTAGAAAAGAAGCAGGAGCTCATGGAAAAGATATTAGAGGTATTCTTCGTGTTCATCAGTTTGACAAGGTTGAACAATTTTGTATCTCTTTACCACATACAAGTAATAAAATACATCAAGAAATGATGAAAACATGTGAAGAATTTTATCAATCTTTAAATATACCATATAGGATAATAAGTATTGTATCAGGAGCACTTAATAATGCTGCATCTATAAAATATGATTTAGAAGGTTATTTTCCATGTAGTGACCAATATAGAGAATTAGTTTCATGTAGTAATTGTACTGATTATCAAAGTATTAATTTAAATATAAAATATACGGATTCTAATATCAAAATAACAGATTTAAAAAAAAACGAGAAAGTAAATATCAATGAAGAAATGGATAGTGATTATGAGAATTTTATTCAAAATTTTCACACTGAAAGTAAAAATTATGTTCATTTATTAAATGGTACAATGGTTGCTGCACAAAGATTTTTATGTTGTCTTCTTGAAAATTATCAGAATGGGGAGGGGATAATTGTTCCTGAGAAGTTACGACCTTTTATGAATAATATGGAGTTTATTCCATTTGTTGAATAATTTAAAAAAATGAAAAAAAAAAAAAAAAAAAAAAAAAAAAAATCAATAAATAATAAAAAATAAAAGTAAAATATTATACAGAGGTAACATATAATAATGAAATATTTCTTATATATATGTAAATTTTTGTTTCACTGTTATTTATTATTTATTTTAATTTTTTTTTTTTTTTGTGTATTTATAAAATGTATATATATTAATATTTCATCTAGAGGGAATTAAAAAAAAAAGTATTTAACAAACACACTGTTAATTAATATTAATTTATTATAAAAATAGAAAAGATAAAAAGGAAATAAATTATATTTAGAATAGTATTATAGTTAACAAACTTCTAAAGAATAAGAAAAAAAAATATTTAATATATATATATATGGAAAATTAATCGACTTGTAATAGTATAGATAGAATAATAATATTGATGATAATTATATTGCTACAATTACTATTACATAATAGTACAATTTTGTATCTCATAGGACTTTGCTATCTTTTAAGTGCTTACATTCAAATTGAAAGTGAACATTAACGAAATATTTTTTAAAATAATACTATTAAATAATTTAAGAAAAAAAAAATATATATATTTTGTAATCTTTAAATATAAAAGGAATATTTTTTAATTATAGAAAAAAAAAAAAAAGAATTATAGAAATCATAAAGATATATTTTTTTTTAAAAAAATAAAAATATTTTTTAATTATTTTTTCTATGAATATGCATTTCTATTAATACATATTTTTACATTCTAATTAAAATAGAAAAAAGACAGAGTATTAAGAGATGAGAATAATGTTCACATATTTAAGAAATAAGTGATTGTTAATTAAAATAAAAAATAAAATAAGCATAATAAAAATTAAAAAAAAAAAAAATTTAGAAATTACAAAGATTAATGAAATTTATAAATATATTTTAAAAATAAACTTTGATTTTTTTTTTTTTTTTCTTTCTCAATATAAGAGAAAGTTAACAAAATATTGTTATAAAAAATTAATAAAAAAAGGAAGTTTAGAGTGATTCTATTTTATCTATTATTTCATTGAATTATTTGATAGAATTTTAAAATAACCAGTTTTGTATATATATCAATGTTTTGATATATTAATTTTCTTAAATTTATCCAAGTCATTTTTAAGAAGACACATGATCAAGAAAAAAAAAAAAAAAAAAAAAAAAAAAAAAAACAAAAAAATTAAAAATAGTATAAAATAGAAGGTTAAAAGAAAAATAAACTCTTTTTTTCTTTTTTTTAGAATAGTACCTTGTCCAAAAGGAAATAAATTTCTTTCTTGTATAATTTTTTATTTAGTTATTTTAATAAAAAGCTAAATGACATAATTTAATGAAAAGTAATGTTAATAAAAAATAAATGTTAAACTGTTTTTCTATAAATATAATTTCATTATTCTAAATAAAAAATTTATTTATTTTTTTGCCTTAGAGAAATAAAAGTGAAAAATGACACATAAATATTAAGGGATATAAAATCATATAAGCAATGTTATTATAGAATTAAGCTAAAAATATCTATGCATATTTCATTTTATTTAAAAATAAAACAAAATAGAAAGCACTTAAGCAAATCATTAGTTATAAATTTCTTATAATTTCTAAAATATTATTATTACTATATATATATATATAAATATTTTTAATAATTAAATATACTTCAATTTTATATAAGGAAAAAATGTATGCACACACATTTTATGTGCACACAAAATTTTGCAAAAATAATGAATTGAATAATTTATTAAATATACAAGATTTATTTACTTAACATATTTTAAAAAATTTCGATATATTTTGTAATCTAAAATTTATCCTAAGAATCTTTAATTATTTTTAAAATAAATATATAATTTTCTAAATTTTGTAAAATTTAAAAAAAAAGAAGTTTTTTGTATATGTATGTATTTATATTTTGTTTTTGAGTTTGAATTTGTTGTTTTACCATTTTCTTTTTATATTTTTCTTCTCTTTTTTCTTCTCTTTTTTCTTTTCTTTTCTTTTTTTTTTTTCTTTTTCTTTTCCATTTTTTTTTTGTTTTTTTTTTTTTTTGTGTATTTTTGTTCAATTTTTTTTTTTTTTTTTTCTAAATAGTGTAGAAAAAGCTTTGAATGAAAAAAGAGACTAAAAAAAAAAATTGGGAAAAAAATAATATATATAATTATAAAATAAAATGTACGGAAATGAATTAAAAGTATCTACAAATATTTATAATTATAAAAATAATTATGAAAGTTATAGCAAATTGAAATCAGATAAAGTTATAATAAATGATGAAAATATTAATGAAAAAAAAAAAATGCTTAATGAAAAATTAAGCGAGTCAAAAAGTTTGACACAAATAAATAATTGCAGTGATTTATATAAAAAGAATACCACATATACAAAAAACTCAGATGCTATAAATTTGTTTAGTATACAAACAAAATTAAATAATAAAAATAAAATAAAAAAAATGTTTAGTGGATTAGGAAGTCAAATGAAAAATGCTATAAATGTATTTGATGAAGTAAAAGAACAAATTAAATACACAGCAAAAGAAGCCAAAAAAAATATGAATTATACATTTTGCAAAGCCCCTTGTAATATTGAAAGTTTAAAAAATACTATTTATATAAATGAAGAAGAAATAGTAATTAATAAAAATATTTATAATACAATATTTAAAAAAAAAAAAGATGAAAAAGAAAATATTAGAAAAAATGATAATGAAGATATTTTTACATGTAATAGTAGTGATATTATAATTAAAGGAAGTTATAATTTTGGTTTTGATGTAGAAGTAAAATATGAAAATGAGGAAAATAAAATTATTATACATGCTTACGATAAAGATACTAAAAAAAAAATACCTTGTTCATATAAATGGAAGAGATTATACTCAGTTCAACATTGTGATTTGATTAATAGAAATTTATTTTCTAAAAAAAATAATATATATCATAATGATAATGAATATGAATTAACTTGTGAAGATATAGGAATAAAAATATATGTAGAATGCTCATGTATAAATAGTGAAGGGACTACTATAGAAAATATATCCAAATACTCAATTAATAATTCTACTAATGTAGAAAATGGCAAAAATAATACATCATTAATTAAAAATATATTACAAAATAATAATGTATATAATAGTAATAATGAAGAAATGTTAAAAGATTTTAATTCTGAAAAAAATTCATTTAATTTAGATGATTGTAATAAAAATTTTTCTTTGTCTAATAGCTTATTTGAATCAAACAGTAACAAAAGAAATTCGAAATTAGATAAAGTTAATTATAAAAATAATAATGCAACAGAAATTTTAAACTCTCATGAAGCTTCAACTTTTAATAAAAATTCAATGAATAATATTAGTAGTAATAAATATTACGGTGTAGCAGTAGCTGAAATAGGCCCATTCAATTTAAATGTGAAAACAAAAAAAATGCTTGAAACAATTATACATAATGATACTATTAGATATCCTATATATCTAATAAAAAAAGTAATTAATAATGAAGATAAAAATAATGAAGACATGATGTTATATATAAATAAAAAAAAAAATACATTTAGTGATTATGATGATAATAATAGTATAGATAACCTCAGTTTATATTCTAATATAGAAAGTGAAAATGATGTTATTTATATGTTATATATACATAAAAATGAAATAAAAATAATAGATCAAAATAATAAAATGAAGCATATGTGGAGTTATAAATTTAATCATATATATCCATTTGTTGAATTTTTAGAAAATAAATATTATTTTTCATTACATATTAATGTTAATGAATACTATATTTGCAAATGTTTATATAAAAGACATCGTGATTTAATTGCAATTATACTTAGATATATGCATGCCAATTTATATATTATAAATGATTATATTTTTAATAATATAAATCAGAGTTTTGAAAATACAAGAGTTAAAAATATTTTTGACAATATTGACATTAATTCAATTTTGGAAAATATAAATAAAGAGTTATTAATTAATCAAAAATTAAATCAAAAATATTTACTTAAAATAAATAGTTTGAAAACTGAAAAAAATATGCTTGAAGAGGAATTGAAAAATACTATAGAAGCGTTTCAAACACAATTAGGTATTTACATTTATATATATATATATATATATATATATATATATATATATATATATATATATATATATATATATATTTTAAGTATTTCACATTTTACTTATTTTTTTCCAATTTTGATTTTTAATTAAAATTTTTTATATTTCATTAAGCTTAATTAATTACACATTTACTTTTTAGATAATGTAAAAAAATTTAAAGATGAAAATGATTTACTAAAAACAAATGATAAATTAATGAAGGAAATAAAAATATTACAAGATAAATATAGAAATGTTGATTTATTTTTTAAAAATAAGGTAAATTTTTTTTTTCATTTATTACTATTTTTTTTTCTACTTGATATATATAATTATTTAATTTTATTTATTATTTTTTTTTTTTTTTTTTTTTTATTAGTATAAGGCTTTATTGAATGACATTGAAAAATATAAAAAACTAGTTGAAGAGAATAAATCTAAAGTAAATTTAAAATTCTTAATTTTTTCATTTTTTTTTTTTTTTAGTAAGTATATAAAATTTATTATTATTTTTTTTTTTTTTTTAATTAGATTAATTCAGAAAATGTTAAAGAACTATATAAAAAAATTGAAACAATTGAAAAAGAAAAGGTTAAAGAGGAATGAAATAAAAAAAAAAAAAAAAATATATATATAAAATATTACAAAATTGTGAAAAGATATTAAAATAATTTTAAAAATACATATTGAAATATATACATATTTTTGTAGAATGAATTATTAAACAATAATATAGAAATAAATAATTTATATAATGAAGAAAAAACAAAGAATATAGAATTAGAAAAGAAATTGGAGAGTTTAAATATAAAATTAGATTATTTATATAAGTCTTTACAAGTAAATCTAAAATTATTTATATAAATTATATTCTATTTATATATATATATATATATATGTATGTTATATATATATATATATATTTTAACATATTTTTAGGAGGAAAAAAAAAAAGGAAATGAAAATTCTGAGTATATAAAACAAATGGAAGAATTAAAAACAAATAATTTATATTTACAACAAAAAAATGTAAAAAATTCTGATGAAATAAATTTATTAATAACAGAAAAAAATAGATTAACTAAATTAGTTGACTCTTTAACAAAAGGTAGAAAAAAAAAAAAAAAAAAAAGTAAATAAATAAATTATATATTTATAATATAAATTTTATAATAAATAAATTATAAGTTAACTTATGCATTTAGTTATTATGTAGAATTTTTACTTTTTTTTTTTT